CCAGTCTCCTCGCTGCCCGCTCTCCCTGGTTCTTCAACAACAGCCTTTCCTCTCGGCCCTAATGGTGCTATGTATGGTTTCCGGGTGGGGACCCCTCCCCCTCCCAGAGCCTCATACTCCTCTGCCAGCATCGCTGCGGACTCCACCGTCGGTCCTGAATGGCCCTGCACATACGCCCTGAAGGCATGCGATGGGAGGTTGCGGACGAACCGCTGTCGAGCCATATGCCCGCACATGTCGTCAGTAACCCCCGGCACAGCCAATCGAGTCAACATCTTCAAACTTTGTCCGTACCGCTCCCACGTCTCTGTGGGCTCCTTTCTACGGGTCTCGAGCGCCTCCTGATGTTGTGCCTCTCTTCCTACAGGATCGTAACGCGCCACAAGGGCTGCTCTCAGACTTGCCTCATCTAAATAGTTTCGGCAAGTTGTTAGGAGCTCCGCTGCAGGTCCCTCCAGCGCAGCTGCCAACTGCGCCGCGCGTGCCTCACGATCCCATCGATTAAAACTCGCTGCAATCTCAAATTTTTGAAAAAATGTTTGCAGTGGTACTTCTGCAGACCCCGTAAATGGCCGTACTTTCATACGTTCATTCCGATTGCGCGTCCCTTCGTGCAGAACCCTCGGTGTGCTCGCAGCGCACGGTTCTCTCATCTCACTGGCTTGCCTGGACATCGGTCTGCTTCCTCGATTATCCCTGGCAGCACTCGCATCCGTCCGACGGTCATTCACACCCCGCCCTTCGGCAGCAGGGGTTGGCCGCGGGCTTATCCTTCGCTCGCTTTTCTCGCCCTTCATTCTCTCTTTTCGGGGGGTCGTGCCCCGCCCTTCTGCAGCGGGGTCGAGGAAGGTAACCTGTGTCTGGCCTAACTTCTGTTTCACTTCATCCTCTTTGCGGCGCCGACCTCTGCTGAAGTCCCCCTGGTTGAATGTGCTCGTTGGGGACTGGCTGTCCGCTGGCTCGGCGAACAGCTCTTCCTCGGCATATTCCTCCTCCGCTTCACTAGAGTACCCAGGGTTCATGAACTCCCGCGCTACTCCAGCTCCACTCTCTCGTTCGGGGGTTTGGGCCCCACCCTCGACGTCTCCGTCTCTCGGCTGTGCGTCATCATCCCAGCCTATCTCTTCATCATCAGGCTGTACGCCTTCCATCTTCCCACTTTAATCTTTTGCCTTCTTTCTTCTCTCTTCGTTCTTTTTACTTCTTTCTTCTTTCTTCGTTCTTCTTTCTTCCTTCTTCTTTCTTCTGCTATTATTCGACAATAGCTCTTGTCCTCGGTCACCGGCACTACTTATGTAGCGTTTTCCTGGTCTCCGTAACAATTATGTATCTTTTTCGCCGTCTCTAGTTATGTCTCCTTTTCCTGTCGTACCCTTCACACGGGCTTGATAGCGCCCGTGCGTGCGTTGTGTTGTCTCAATCCCCCTTCGTCGTCAGCTCGTAAAGGAAAGGCTTGCCAAGTACGTGCAGTTCAGAAAGAGGGCCGAAGATAGAAGTTGAGTGATAATGACGGGACAAGCCCGGCTGTTTATTAGGGGTTGACACCCAGATGCACCAATGATGTTGTTCACACACAGGCAGAGAGCCAATGCTCGGATATACGTACAATAAGCGCGGCATCACCGTTACTCACCCTCTCTCTCTCTCTCTCTCTCTTTCTCCCACGCGCGCACTCTTTAACTCTCTCAACTCAACTGTTCGCAACTCTCTCTCTCTCTCCCCCAACTGCTTCTCAATTGGCGAGTCTCAAAAAACTGTTCTCTCCGACACGCGCACGCGCTTATATTTCACATCACCACGTGACGTCGTGACGGATACAAGAATGTCTCCCAGATTGCATTCCTTTCTCGAAGCTCACCAATCGCTTCTCTCTTTACCTGCGTCATACCACACGTGATTCTTCCCGATTGGACCACTCCGCCCCTCTCGGTTGACACGCCCCCTTCTTTCCTGCTTACTCTCTCACAACCGCCAGCTCGTCCTACCGTTCACATCTCCCCTCGCCAAATATCACTCACTAAACTACGGTATACGCATACAATTGCTACATTAAGTATTATTCATGCTCGATATTACCTACTCGCTCCGCGTGGCGTGTATCACCGCCGTATCTCGCGCGCGCGCGGTGCAACATACACCGCTGCGCCGCGGCCGCGCGCGCGCGGTATATTACCGCTGCGTCACCGTGCGCACGAACCTCTATCCCCGCCGCGCCGCATACAACCGCCACGCCGCCGCGTACGCGGACCTCTATCCCCGCCGCAGTAAATCCCCGCCGCGCGGGCGGACCGCATACCACCGCCGCGCGGGCGGACCGCCGCGCCGCATACTACTGCTGCGCGCGCGGACCGCACAACCCCGCCGCGCGGGCGGACCGCCGCACGGATACTACTGCTGCGCGCGCGGACCGCACATCCCCGCCGCGCGGGCGGACCGCCGCGCCGCATACTACTGCTGCGCGCGCGGACCGCATATCACCGCCGCGCGGGCGGACCGCCGCGCCGCATACTACTGCTGCGCGCGCGGACCGCATATCACCGCCGCGCGGGCGGACCGCCGCGCCGCATACTACTGCTGCGCGCGCGGACCGCACATCCCCGCCGCGCGGGCGGACCGCCGCGCCGCATACTACTGCTGCGCGCGCGGACCGCACATCCCCGCCGCGCGGGCTGTCTTTCGCGCCGCATACTACTGCTGCGCGCGCGGACCGCACATCCNGCTGCTGCTGCTGCTGCTGCTGCTGCTACTACTACTACTACTACTACTACTACTACTATACTACTACAACTACTACTACTACTACTACTACTATTACTACTACTACTACCACTACTACTACTACTACTACTACAACTACTACTACTACTACTACTACTACTACTACTACTACTACTACTACTACTACTACTACTACTACTACTACTACTACTACTACTACTACTACTACTACCCTTACTACTACTACAGCAGCAGCAGCAGCAGCAGCAGCAGGAAAGCACCAGCAGCGGTAACAACAAGAACAACAGCACCACCATTATCACCAGCAGCAGCAGCAGCAGCAGCAGCAGCAGCAGTAGCAGCAGCACCCCCCCCCCCCGCGCGTGCACGCTCCTCGCGTCTGCTAATTTTTTCTCATCGACACCAGACTCGCAAACATTTTCGCATCGCTACAGGCGCGTCGATTTCAACCTACACGTTTCGCTGCGTGTTACGTGCCTGAGATGCGGCGGCCATGTTGGATACCCACGTCTATTAAACAACACGGTGATTTAGAACAGACGCATCGCGCATAGCAGTCACAGGCGCTCGCGATTGAGGGCGGCCATGTTGGATACCAACGTCAATTAATGAACGATCGTGGAGAACAGAGGCGATTCGCTGTGCATTTCACGTGATCGTGATGGAGGGCGGCCATGTTGGATACCAACGTCAATTAAACAACGATCGTGTAGAACAGAGGCGTTTCACTGTGCATTTTAGGTGATCGCGATGTTAGCACGTTTATAACACCGTATTAAATCACGCGTTTACTTTATTGCCAGCGGGGTGTCGGAAGTGTCGGTGACTGTAAGTCAGCAGTAGCGACAGCAGTGGTAAGTCGATTAACGACGAGTAATTTCCGGTGACAACCGGTGGCCTACCGAATGGCTCTCTCGTGGCAAAAACATCTAGGAATTTCTGCTGTCACGTCAAATGCGATTACCCCACTCCCCGCCCGCCCGCCTCCCGCCTCCACCCAGCTTTTCGTCAGAAGAGACGCAAGGAGTTCCGCCGCCTGTACCATGAGAGGCACGCGACGTCTTCTCCGTGATGCGGTCATGATTTCGGCGATTTAGCTGCCGTCTAGCGCGCTTCAGTCTGCTCGCGAGTTGTTGTGAGTCGCGAAGCAGAATATGTAGCGTCACGCTAGAACTGTACGCTAGAACGCCCGCTTGCAAGCACGGTTAATTGCACGCTCGCACGCACGCACGCTCGCACACACGCTCCTACGCACGCACACTCGCACGCACAACCATCCATATATATATATATATATATATATATATATATAAATCTGTTTACTGAGCTAAATCGCTGTCTATTTCTGTCGCGCGACACGGTAATTCTAGTGCTATTGTATATAATTGCGTTAGGCTGAACACTATACGGCCTACAGTGGGCCAAGATTTCTCACCGAAATGTCACTCGCATTCAACGCAAACGCACTCGCCTTCAGAATACGACATAATTGCAATTTTACGTCGCACCGCCGGCTGACATAAGCTAATAACATGATCACAGTTGTGTGTGTCGCGACGTTGAAAGGATACGCGATATCTGTAATTAGACATTAGTTAAGTATGGAGGTGTGGGTTCTTTTCGGGGGCAGACTCATGTCAAAAGAATCAAGGAATCGTAGAATAATAAGGGCCGTATGGCGTATTGGCAAGCTGAGCGACGGCTGAACAGCGATAGGTTTGCAAGGGGTCAACGCGCGCACAGCCACACACACACACACACACACACACACACACACACACACACACACACACACACACACACACACACACACACACACACACACACACACACACACACACACACAC